ATCCCTGAGAAACTAAAGTAATAGGAGTTCATTCCCAACAAAGGCTGGGAAGACCGATCAATTTGCAATATTCTTTTCTGCACCCATGCAACAAAGCAGAAACATGAAAGCAGAACATTAAGGGATGCTCTCAATGAACTGGACAAATCAATAAACATCAGTGGTAAAGAAAAAAAGTTTCTCATTCTCTTGAGTACCCCGAGGGCTTTTCCATCTCAGGAAGTGATGAGCAGTGGTGGCCTCTGCCATGTTCCCTTCACCTGCACGGAGTCATCTTCTGCCTTCTCAAGGTGAACACTGCTAAGCATCCATGGAAGGAGGATTTGAGTGTGTGTGTGGGGGGAGTGTTTAAGGAAATGACTGCTTCTCTTAGAAAGAGATGTGCTATGCTGGCTGGAAGGCAGACGGACAATTGTGTCTGTGGCCTCAGGGGAAACATTGAAGGAGGGGGTCAAAACAGAGTAAGATACTGGGTGCCCCTGCCTTCCAAAATAGTAAAAGTACCAGGTCAGTGTTTTCTACGGTCAGCATTGAAGGGCTGCATAATATTGAAGGTCTTTATTTTCGTGGACTTGAGTCAGAGATGGAGAGCTGGAAAAATAGCAAAGAATAGGCAGGAAGCAATTTAGAGATAGAGGAATATACTTAGGTCTAACACAAGGTAATAACGGCATGATTCCAGTTGGCTTGATGTGACAGAGACCTAGATTTCATGTGTGCAAGAGTGTGTACATGTGTATGTATATATATGTGCATGTGTGTGTGTATATATATATGTGATATATATAGGTGTATATATCACCCCTTCTATAGACAGATAGATAGATAGAGATAGATAGATAGATAGATAGATGGTAGATAGATAGATAGATAGTAGATAGATAGATGATAGATAGATAGAATGATAGATAGTAGATAGATAGATAGTAGATAGATAGATGATAGATAGATAGAATGATAGATAGTAGATAGATAGATAGTAGATAGATAGATGATAGATAGATAGACAGATAGATAGATGATAGATTGATAGATAGGTAGATAGATGATGGATAGATAGATAGATGACAGATGGATAGATAGATGGATAGATGATAGATAGATGACACCTAGATAGATAGATGGTAGGTAGATAGATAGATAGATAGATAGATAGATAGATAGATAGATGATACATAGATAGATGATACATAGATGACAGATGGATAGATAGATCGATAATAGATAGATAATAGATAGATAGATAGATAGATAGATGATAGATAGATAATAGATAGATAGATAGATACATAGATAGATAGATAGATAGATAGATAGATAGATAGATAGATAGATAGATAGATAGATAGATAGATAGATAGATAGATAGATAGATAGATAGATAGATAGATACACAATAAAGAGGGAACTCACACAGATCCAGCACCACACGCTGGTCTGACCCCTGACCTCTCCCGTGTAGGACACGGTTCCCGCCATCGCTGCTCTCAGGGCGACCTGTCACCACGACAGGAGTGAGTACCTATGAGGCCGGTGGCGTAACCCCGCTGTTGCAGGATCCTCGCGAAGGTGGTTTCGTTCTCGGGGAGCCCCCCGGAGCCCCCGTTCCACTGAAGGGCCCGGTATCCGTCGCTGGCTTCCATGCCTGGGGGGCGGGGTAGAGTGGAGGGGGGGTTGTGGTGTCTGTTGGGGGCAGTGGGGTACGTTCGGCTGGGGATTCATCTATTTATCTCTCTATAATCTATCTATCTATCATCTATCATGTATCTATAATCTATGTATCATGTATACATCTATCCACATCTATGTGTCTATCCATTTATCATCTATCTATTCATTCATCTATTACCTATCTATCTATCTATCTATCTATCTACTTGTATGTATCTATCCATTCATCTATCTATCCATCCATCTTCTATCTATCCATTCATCTACTATATCTACCTATGTATGTACCTATCTACCCATCTATTATATGTCGATACATTCATCTATTATCTATCTATCTATCTATCACCTATCTTTCTATCATCTATTATCTATCTGTCTATCATCTACCTATTATTTATATCTATCATCTATTTATCTATCTATCTATCTATCACCTATCTTTCTATCATCTATTATCTATCTGTCTATCATCTACCTATTATTTATATCTATCATCTATTTATCTATCTATCTATCTATCACCTATCTTTCTATCATCTATTATCTATCTGTCTATCATCTACCTATTATTTATATCTATTCATCTATTTATCTATCTATCCATCTATCACCTATCTTTCTATCATCTATTATCTATCTGTCTATCATCTACCTATTATTTATATCTATCATCTATTTATCTATCTATCTATCTATCACCTATCTTTCTATCATCTATTATCTATCTGTCTATCATCTACCTATTATTTATATCTATCATCTATTTATCTATCTATCTATCTATCACCTATCTTTCTATCATCTATTATCTATCTGTCTATCATCTACCTATTATTTATATCTATCATCTATTTATCTATCTATCTATCTATCACCTATCTTTCTATCATCTATTATCTATCTGTCTATCATCTACCTATTATTTATATCTATCATCTATTTATCTATCTATCTATCTATCACCTATCTTTCTATCATCTATTATCTATCTGTCTATCATCTACCTATTATTTATATCTATCATCTATTTATCTATCTATCTATCTATCACCTATCTTTCTATCATCTATTATCTATCTGTCTATCATCTACCTATTATTTATATCTATCATCTATTTATCTATCTATCTATCTATCACCTATCTTTCTATCATCTATTATCTATCTGTCTATCATCTACCTATTATTTATATCTATCATCTATTTATCTATCTATCTATCTATCACCTATCTTTCTATCATCTATTATCTATCTGTCTATCATCTACCTATTATTTATATCTATCATCTATTTATCTATCTATCTATCTATCACCTATCTTTCTATCATCTATTATCTATCTGTCTATCATCTACCTATTATTTATATCTATCATCTATTTATCTATCTATCTATCTATCACCTATCTTTCTATCATCTATTATCTATCTGTCTATCATCTACCTATTATTTATATCTATCATCTATTTATCTATCTATCTATCTATCACCTATCTTTCTATCATCTATTATCTATCTGTCTATCATCTACCTATTATTTATATCTATCATCTATTTATCTATCTATCTATCTATCATCTATGTATCTATCTATCATCTATCTTTATCATCTATCCACCCATCTACCCATCATCATCTACGCATCAATCCGTCCATCCATCCATCTGCCCTTTTCGCTGTCGTCCCCCCAACACCCACCTGATCGGAGAGCGTGTCTCCCCGTCAGGAAAGCCGCTCGGCTCGGGGTGCAGAGGGGGGCGGCCGCCAGGTGCTGGGTGAGCCTCACGCCTTCTGCCGCCAGCCGGTCGATGTTGGGCGTCCTGAGCGAACCACACACAGGACACCCTCAGGAAGGGGGCGGGTACCCAGCCTGGGCCGGACCCTCCACGGAAACGCATCTGCCATGAACCTGAGTTCGAAATGGGGTCTTTGCAGCCCTGCCCGTGTGGCTCAGTGGATAGAGCATCGACCTATGAACCAGGAGGTCACGGGTTCGATTTCCGGTCAGGGCACAGGCCCGGGTTGTGGGCTGGATCCCCAGTAGGGGACGTGCAGGAGGCAGCCAATCAGTGATTCTCTCTCATCATGGATGTTTCTCTCTCTTCCTCTCTGAAATCAAAACATATGCATATATATTTAAAAAATAATGTATACATATCGATAATAATATAGATATAATATAGCTGGTGCTACAGGCAGATTTTCAATGGATCCTTCAACCAAAGACACACACACACACACACACACAGACACACACACAGACACACATACACAGAGACACACACATATATACACATACACAG